CCCATATATACCTAAATTAGCAGGCAAACTTAGTTCTACAGCATATGCTGTAAGGAAGATTAGAAGTCTCACCAATGTTGAGACAGTTTGTTTAGTTTAGTTTATTTTAGTTAATTTCGTAGTGTAATGTCTTATGGAATTTTGTTATGGGGTAATGCGACTGACATTGAAGCTATATTTGTTTGCAAAAGAGAGCCATACGGGATATTTATAATTTAAATTGTAAAGTCCATTAAAGAAAAAAAATATTTAACTTTGGCATCCCAATATATTTAAAGAATCGCTATGTAGCGATAAGGCCGCCAAATTGTACATATTATAATCTGATTTTTGTTATGACATTTGTATATTCATTCATTCATTCATTCTGATTCATTCATTCATATTCCTTCATTAATATATTTATGAAAATGGAATGTATGTACATAATAATATAAATAGCTTTGATAAGAATAAAGATCCATACTTTAAACACTAGGAACAAGCTTATGGTTGTAATACCAGTTACTAAACACCACAGAATTAGAAATTCATTTACGAGGCAATGTATACGCTTTTACTACAAAATCCCAGAAAATGTACAAACTTTGTCAATAGACGTATTTTACTAAAGAAAAATTGTAAAAAAGCTTTGTTGAGTTTATTATAAATATCAACGAATACATGAATGAAAATAACCCCTGGAAATGAAGTGATTGCCACCATGCTGGTTCTATAAAAAATTAATTTAAAAATTATACAAACAAAATTATTGTAAAGTGATATATTTATGTTTTAAAAAAAGTCCCGTTGGGTTTCTTACTGGTTCTTCCCAGGACCGAACCAGTGGTAAAAAAAAAAAAAATGACTTTCAATATGTAAGTGTTATGTAATAATCTATATTGAATAAAAATTATACTGTTCTATTCTTTTCAAAGCATGAAACTCACTTGGCATAAAAGTTGTGCGGGAGCTATCGAGTTGTCTGAAATAGAATTTGGATCAAATTTTAAGTGTAATTTATTAATTCTAAAATAGAAATAATAGTAACAGTATGGCTCATTCTTTCGTATTATATTGTTTAATGCTCTATTGTCTGAGTGCGACACGACATCGTATTTTTATGTTTTTATTTTATGAAAGAAGAAGCAAACGAGCATGCATGCGGCCTATCTGATGGTAAGTGATCACCGTCGCCCATGAACATCTACAACACCAGGGAAATTGCAGGTTCGTTGTCGGCCTTTTAGTAAGGAGTATGCTCAAAGTCCTTAAATCGTATCGGTCCGGAAAAACCGCTGGCGACAGTATATTCCACAGTTTGGTTGTGCGAGGCAGATAATTCCGCGTAAATCGCAAAGTAGTGAATATCGAGATCTGAGGAGTTATGAATTCCAATTTAACTAGTCTTAGCTTACTTCTATAAAAGCCCGTAGATAATGAAAGACAATAACTTGTCCTTATAAACCAACTCATTCTGCGCATAGCTCACTCAAAGAAGTCGCGAATGCTGCTATCCAACCAATAACATTAAATGTGAAAGGGAAACCAAGTTCGGTACAAAACTCGGTTCTTATCTTACTTGGCTTCGTCGATAAAATATTTGTGGCCTGAACGGGTGCCAAGTTCTGTAGCAGTTGCTTAAGCCATAGCATCTGCAGCAATGGAACGTATGCCAAAGACTTCCAAAAGTTTTTATGTAGAATATTTTATGTTTAACGTTTTTTTTTATATGATCGGGTGACGAACGAGCACACAGTCCACCTGATGGTAAGTGGTTGCTGTGGCCCATAGACATCTACATCTATCTTCGACTAAGAATCAAAATGTAGATGCGTTGTCACCCGTGAGGACTAAGATGGAATGCCTCGTTTCCAGTAAAAAGGGTCTTCGGTTCTCTACACTCACCATACGAAACACAGCAGTTTAAACTGCTATTTTACGCTGGTATTCTGTGAGAGCGTGGTCCTTCCCCGGTCGAGCCGATCCATTCGTGCTACAACTATACTACTAATATAGCTGCAGCATGGCTCTACCACGTTAAAATCCACATAGCAAAACCACGTAGCATCTTTAGCAGCACTAGGAAAGACACACCACTGACGACAATACCACACGTGTTTCGCCTCTACACGAGACATGTTCAGGTAATCTGGACTCTGCGGTGGCTGACCGCTAAGTGAGCGGTGTATTCCTAGTGTAGTGGTGTTGGGAGTAGTGGTGCTGGGATTAGTGGTGACGGTGATAGTGCACGCAATTGAGGGAGGGGGGAGGTGCTCTTCAAACTAGGTAAGACACATCATTTTATTTTATCGAGCGGATGTACGCGAAGTAATTTTTTACCAACTTTAATATTTTGTTTATATGTTTAGATTGACGCTGTCAACTAGCAACTACAATACTAACTAAGCGCTCTTCATGACTAGATTTATTATGAAGAAGATCTACAAAGCGTAGGTATAGTTGTAGAACAAATGGGTCGGTTCGATCAGAGAAGGGCCACATTCACTGAGTTCTCAGAAAATGCTTGTGTAAAATATCAGCATTAAAACTACTATGCCTTGTCGTTCTTGCGTATGAACTCTCGTCAATTTCTGAACCACCCTATTTATTGGTAACTGAGCATTTCCTTTTAGTCTTCTTTGGATCCTATCCGAGGATAAGTGTAAAGTTGATGGTGGAATCATGTTTTTTTTTATAGGATAAGGGTGACAAACGAGCACACAGTCCACCTGATGATAAGTGGTTGCTGTGGCCCATAGACATCTACATCTATCTTCGACTAAGAATCAAAATGCAGATGCGTTGTCACCCGTGAAGACTAAGATGGAATGCCTCGTTTCCAGTAAAAAGGGTCTCCGGTTCTCTACACTCACCATACGAAACACAGCAGCGTTAAGCTGCTATTTTACGCTGGTATTCTGTGAGAGCGTGGTCCTTCCCCGGTCGAGCCGACCCATTCGTGCTACAACTATACTACTAATATAGCTGCAGCATGGGTCTACCATGTAAAGAATATTATATGTTTAGATTTATTAACTAGCAACTATAATACTAACTAAGCGCTCCTCATGGGGAGTTTTGGCGGGAACTTGACCGGCGGCGGGTTGCTGCTCCTGTATTATAGTTTAAATAATAGTTTGAAGTGGATTTTGATATGTAAAAGTGGTGCGATTTTATGTATTAACTGTCTACGCATGTGAACTATTAGTGGAAACGGTGAAACAAGTGCTCTGATGGTGATGGATTCTCAAGATAAGCTGTTTGTCTGCATAGGCTCCTTTAGATACCATCGCCAACTGTCAGCTGTCTGCTGGCTCAAGTTGCCGTCAAAATATCCCAAGGGCCGCACAATGTGACGCATCAACATATTGTGAAGCAGTGAACTATGAAGGATAATTATACATTTGGAAAATTATAATAAACCGAATAAAAATACTCAAGACTTGGCCTAAAGGTCTAGATACCAGGCCATAAACTCCAAAAAAAAAAAGCGCTCCTCATGACTGGATTTATTATAATGAAGAGCTACAAAGCGTAGGTATAGCTGTAGAACAAATGGGTCGGTTCGGTCAGAGAAGGGCCACATTCACTGAGTTCGCAGAATATGTCTGTGTAAAGTAGCAGCATTAAGACTACTGTGCTTTGTCGTTCTTGCGTATGAACTCTCGTCAATCTCCGAACCACCCTATTTATTGGTAACGGGGCATTCCATCTTAGTCTTCTTTGGATCCTAGGTGTTAGTGGAATCATGTCTACAATGCTCTCTTAAATTGACCCGGTGCCTGCGGTTTCTAAAGTAATCTTTTTATAAATCTAGGAAAACACCTCGTATGCCACTTTGGTTTGGTTTCTCTCTTACAAGAGTGGAGATATCCTATCGCTATCAAAGTCTTTTTCATCAACTCTGTAAACAGGCTTCAGCCAGTGCATGGAGGATCTTGCCGTAACAAGTAATCACCACGGTGTTCGCAAATGCACCAGATTGTCGCTCTTTTTACTGTATTCCCCGTAGCTGATCCAGTATCCAGTTTTCTGATCCAGTTGATCATTAAATTGCCTTTTTTGTTTAGTTTGATTATGAGAAACGATCATCATCATAATCGCTTGATTACATTATGGTGGGAATACATCGATGTGTTTGCATTCGTCGCTGGAAGTCATAAGAAAAATATTTTGGTAAACCGCTGTGTGTGAACCCGCTGTAAGGTCGTTTGTACAAAATTCTTACTCGTGTTTTTGGAAATTCATGTAGGTGGGGTTGTACAATTATGCGAGATTTGTTGAACATAATTTTGACCTTCATATTTTAATTAATAATGTTGTTTGGTCACAGCCACAGCCGGTGGTAAGGTTACCAACTCCCGTTTTATGTTTTAGAGGATTTGATAAGATTAAATAAAGAACATAGGATGAAAATAAAAGATATTATATTGTTTTCAATAAAATGCTGCTATAGTATCACTAGCAACATACATTAATAAAAATAAAAACAATGGTATTATGCAATGAAACGTAGTTTGTCTCCCTAACCTCGCGCGTCACCTCGAAGTGATTTTTAAACTCTTTCACCTCAACTGGCAGAGGGAATTACGAATACGCGCGACGATGCATTGTACTATATTATAGATTTCAAACTAGGGGACAATATCAATTTTTGGGTCTGAAATAGAGAATGTCCTTTAAAGTAAAGGACGTGTGGCAGCCGATATTAGGAGTTTAAATAAAAGATGCAAGACATCAAATAAATCCGAGTAAATAAAACTGCATATTTTTTGTAATTAATAAAAAAAGGTTTAATGTAATATGGACCTCGACAAAAGCCCCTACTGCAAGGGTTGGATTGTGAATCTAAACCATCCGGGGACCGGTTGAGTGGGTACCGTTCATCTTTCATACATGCGGTATTTGATTTTTGTATATATACATAAAGGAGGAAAAAAAATTTCTATGATATGCTATGACAATTTTTGAGCCCCTATTTGCATATCTAGTAATAAAAATTATAATAGAATAATTACTTAATCTTCGACAGTAAAACCTAAATCCCTAAGTTCCTGTACCATGAAGTCGTCTTTGTACATATTGACTTTTCTCAGCCACTCCTCGGTCGAGATCACGTGTTTACAAGTGCCCCCGTACTCGGGTGGGAGGTGGGCGGGGTCGATGTGTTTGTGGAGGGAGCTCATGTCATAACCGTGGAAGTGCATCCGGTCCCAAGCCGCCCTCGGGATGAACTGCTTGAAGATGTAGAAGAACGAATTCAGGAACCAGTTGTAGTTTATGATATGCAAACCGTGCAGTAGAAGAGGGAACGAAACCTGTAATGAAACAAAAAATATTTGCTTAAATAAAAAAAAACCGGCCAAGTGCGAGTCGGACTCACGCACCGAGGGTTCCGAACAAATCCGTTAAGTTTAAAATTATTAATTTTTTTTTATTATATGATGTAACTAAAAATTTATGCTTTTCGCAATTTTTACTTTATCTGTGCTATAATACGCTTCGTACTAAATTTTAAGATTCTGAGTTCACGGGAAGTACCCTGTAGATTCTGATTCCCTTGCGAATGTCGAAAATTTGCGGCATAAACGGCTGTATTTTTGATTACGTTGGCTTAAAAGTTTGATTTTTGCACAGCTCCAAGGGACAGTAGACTTGAGTATTTGATATAAATTTCAGCTTGATACCTCCACGCGTTCCTGAGAAAAAGGGTCTTGACAGACAGACAGACGGACAACAAAGTGATCCTATAAGGGTTCCGGTTTTTCCTTTTGAGGTACGGAACCCTAAAAACAACACTTTAAATGACGACAAGGTCACGATACAAGTTCTTCGGTCTCAGTTCGGTTCGGTTATTTATTTTACACCCTTACCTTATATCAATTAACTACTTTTAACACTTGTCAAGTTTCCACTGCGTAATGGCGGTGTAAGAATATTCACTACTCCATATTATCTCATGGGTGTCGTAAGAGGCAAAAACAAAACAGGAGAGGTTTTCCTGCTAACAATTAAAAAATCATAATGATTTCTTATATTTACGCGAACACTACACATTTAAATAAAACTAGTTTTACGGATTTTATCGCGTATATTAACTTATTTTATATGGGATCCCATAATTAATAAAATTAAATCCCAACCCAAGTTCATACTGCGTAGATCGGAACGAAAATTATTAATTTTTAATCTGAAGGTAGCCGTCGTTAACTATGACATTGGAACGTCATACACCTAGTCCTCCCGTGACCATGGGTGCTGTAAAGTGCTCGAAACGTCGGGAATATAAAATAAGTTAATATACGCGATAAAATCCGTAAAATTAGTTTTATTTAAATTAAAAAATCATAAACTGCGGTTGCCAACTCGCCTGGAAAACGCAAATATCCTTTATATAAGGCAAGCTATGGGAGAGGGAGGCCAATGTTCTGCAGTGGACCTTTGATAGGATATAACGGTAAGGTAGAATTTCAATGTCCTAAAGTTCCTATAGCTGTGAGTTACAGAACTATTACGGAGCTTGGCACCGGTTCATAATAGCTCAACTCCTTTACCCGCAGAACAGACAGCCTCTGTTCTCTTTAGTTACGCGGTAGTAGGTAATTTAGTTAGACACTGCAGCTATAATGGTAGTATAGTTCTAGCTTCTAGCATGAATGGGTCGGCTCAATCGGGGAAGGATCACGCTCTCACAGAATACCAGCGTAAAATAGCAGCGTAACACTACTGTGTTTCGTATGGTGAGTGTAGAGAACCGGAGACCCTTTTTACAGGAAAAGAGGCATTCCATCTTAGTCTTCACGGGTGACGGCGCATCTGCATTTTGATTCGTAATCGAGGATAGATGTAGATGTCTATGGACCACAGTAACCACTTACCATCAGGTGGACTGTCTGCTCGTTTGTCACCCTTATGCTATTAAAAAAAAAAAACCTCTAGGGCTCCTGCCCACGAGACGGTTTTAACACGGCTCGGTTTGTGTGCAACCGTCAACAAACAGTCTTGTGTGCAAGCTCGGACGATTTCTACTCGTCGCCGGCAAAAAATCGGGTAGTGTTAAAACTGTCTCGTGGGCATGAGCTCTTAGGCCAACGAGACGGTTTTTCGCCGGAGCTAAGCCCGGCATGAAACCGGGTCTACGTCCGCTCGTCAGTATTGTATGGGATACTATTAAGCCAAACACACGACGCCGGCGCTAGCGTCGGCTCACCGCGCAGCCGGGCACGGTGCTCGCCTCGATGATACCGGGTCGTATACAAACCGTCTTGTGTGCAAGCTCAGACGGTTTCTACCCGGCGCCGGCAAATAACCGGGCCGTGTTAAAACCGTCTCGTGGGCAGGAGCCCTTACACTTGTTTTTGATGACGTGGACTTAGTGGCTTAAGGCAAGTTTCCATGGGATTTTTTATTGAAACGCAGAAGATATGAATATATAATAATTAAAAATTAAAAATTTTGTACAGCCGACTTCAAAATAAGTTATTAAGAATAACTCAATAACTATTGGTCCGACATTGATGAAATTCATATTGGACCATATGTGAAGTATCAGATTCCAAATAAAAAAATCATCGAAATCGGTTCACCCAGTAAAAAGTTATGAGGTAACACATAAAAAAATACAGTCGAATTGAGTACCGTCTCCTTTTTGGAAGTCGGCAGAAAAGGAGGATCTGATTTTACAATTGAGTTTATTTGGATGAGATATATATATATATATATATATATATATTATAGAGGTATACTATAACATCTCACCCCCATTAAGCTGACGATCTGGTTGGCTATGGTAGGCGTCAGGTGGCTCACTTGTCTTACATTGAGGCCATCCAGATCGACTATTATGGTGACGCCGAGTATCTGCAGCTTTGGCTGCATCACGGCTATTTCGTCCATGATTAGCGCACACCGCACCACGTCCACTATGGGTACGGCATCTGTGTCCCATTTGCCTGGAAGTCAAATTGATGTATTAATTTTTATAACGTTTAAATCTAATAATAATAAGTATTGTCATTTTTCATTCATATAATCATTACAGTACTTCACAAGTCCACCGCTGAACAGAGAACTTCCTCAAGGAATGCCACAAAACACGGTCCCGATACACCTGCATCCATCGACTTCCTGCATATCCTACTAGGTCGTCACTCTATCTAGTGGTATGCTGCAGTTCAATCACCGGAACGACGCTGTCACTCGAGAACAATTCTTCCCAAGCGGTACTCGGTTCTTCCAGCTATACGGCCGGCCCATTGCCACTTCACCTTACTAATCCTCTGAACTATGTCGGTTACTTTGATTCTACTGCGGACATCCTTATTTTTAAGTTAATCACGCAGGAACCTCGAGAATTGCCCTCTCCATAGCTCGCTGAATGACCTTGAGGTTTCTAATACGGCCAACAGTAAAGTATATATATTATGTTAAGAAAAAAACAAATAAAATCTAAATTTGTCATACTGTCCTGCTCTTCAGGCATAGTGCAAAGAGCAATGGCTGCTCGCTGAATGTGAATTGGAGGCTTTGATATAATCGTCACGTTTGGTAAACGTCTTGCACCTTTGGGTTTGCTGCTATGGTTCGTAACATTAACTTAAAAAATTAACAACAAGAATATACCTGCAGAGTTCATTTAAATCTTCTCTGGTCGGAGGAAACTCATTTCGAAACGGTAGCAGATTAAAAAAAAATACATTTGACAAAAGACATTTTATTTTATTACGTCAAAGAATAAAATAAATTTCGTCGTTTAACACAGGGACGGTAGCCTTAAATGTAAAGGGTGAGAGTTGAAAATGCACAAGTTGAAAAGACCCACCAAACCTCATCAGCGTTATCCGTCCATTTCCAGGGCTCTCTGGAAACGTTCCCCCATACACGTTCTTCACCTTCTGGAGACCGAATGCATTACAGTCATACAAATAAGCGTTCTTCCTTCGAAACTCTTCATAGCGGACCATCTGAAATAACAAGTGAGAAAATTGTGAGAAAATATGTACAACCGACTTCAATATAAATAATTTATTGTGATGCTTTTGTAGCTATTTATGTAGATGCTTTATTTATTTTCTAAAATAATGTTCTCGATTTTATTTTTGCTTTATGTCGTATAATATACTTTTAAATAGTGTTGAAACTATATTTAATGTTAGAAAAGTGTTAAAAAAGGTAGTGAATGTTGATGATAGTTACATTACAGTGCATAGTATTTTAAAAATATTTTTTATTGAAAAACGTACAAGTTTGTGCGCTAGAGCAGGTATAAAGCGACGACACCGCAGAAATCTGAGTAGATAAGCATCGTCCGTGCGTCGCGGGTGACATTCACCTCTCTCTGCAATAACATAAAAAAAAACAATGTGAAAAAAAATCTTCTTGTAGCTTCATAATCAGTATTAAGAATCGACTGCTGGATATGGTCATTTCTAAAAATGCGAGTCAATTGATATCTTTTTTTTTAAAGATTTACTCTTTTTAAATCTTAACGAGCCGTGGTAGCTTCGCTGTAAATATCACAGTACGCGAGCAGCCCGGTTTCGGGCACCAATGAATTTATTCATCAATTTTAAGTGCTGATTTACCACGTGCTCAGCGGCGAAGGAAAACATCGTGAGGAAACCTGCATGTCTGAGAAATAAGAAAAAAATATTTCGAAAACATGCGAAGTTCGTCAACACGCATTGGGACACCGCGCGCCGGACATTTTCATGCCCATAAACCCTCTTAGAAATGTGAGGAGGCCTGTGCCCAGCAGTGGGACGTATATAGCGTTACCCTCGTTACCCTTGTAATTTATTCTGTACTAGCTGTTCCCTGCGACTTCGCCCGCGTGTAATTTAGGTTTTTAATTTTTTCGCGCGGAACCCTAATACTTTTTCTTAAATAACAGTAGCCTACATTACTCCTTATAACATCAGCTATCTGCCAGTGAAAGTTTCATCAAAATCGGTTTAGCCGATTCGGAGATTAGCCGGAAAAAACAGACAGACAGAAAGACAAAAAATTTAAAAATTGTATTTTTGTTATAAGTACCGTATATACTTTCATATGCATTTAGTGAAATTTTTACATTACAAACAGACACTTAAATTTTATTTATTTGTATAGATTGTAAAGGCGTTTTACATATATAAATTGCACATGGATTATTTGTAGGCCGTATAAATACATGTTTTTTGCTGGATTAGAACCAGCAGGGCCGCAGCCAAACTCATAATTTTACCTTCCTGCACTTGGGAAGGCCTGATCAAGAAGGTCTGCCTAATACAGAAAGACTAATTTTCAAAAAAATAAATAAAAAAGTAAACTTGTGTGCCTGGTAGAGCCATGCTGCAGCTATATTAATTGTATAATTGTAACACGAATGGGTCGGCTCGACCGGGGAAGGACCACGCTCTCACAGAATACCAGTGTAAAATAGGAGCTTATTGCTGCTGTGTTTCGTATGGTGAGTGTAGAGAACCGGAGACCATTTTTACTGTAACAGAGGCATTCCATCACCATAGTCCTCACGGGTGACAACGCATCTGCATTTTGATTCGAAAACGAGGGTAGATGAAGATGTATAATAGCTCAGAAACCATTCAGCATATCACTGGTACCTGCAGATCAATAACACAGACCGACTATAAATACAGACACGACCAAGTAGCTGCCATTATTCATCAATACCTCGCATATAAATATAAACTTATAGATGGAAAAATAGCATATTATAAATACAAACCTGAAATCATACTTGACTCTCGTGAATTCAAACTCTACTGAGACAGAACTATATTAACTGATAAGACCGTGCATTATAATAGACCGGATATTACGCTACATGACAAAAAAAACGAATCAGTTTATCTTATAGATATTGCTACACCAAACACTCACAATTTGACCTCCACCTATAATGAAAAAATAGCCAAATACACTGATTTGTCCATTGAAATAAAATCTCAGTGGAAAGTAAAAACTGTAAAAACTGTACCTATTATAATATCAGCAACAGGCGTCATTCCCCATTCACTTTTTTCTAGCTTAAAGGATCTAGACATTCATAAACTACCTTTATATTGCTGCAAAAAGCACCAATATTGAATACTTGTAGAATAGTCGGTAAGTTTCTGTCTAAAAGATTAAACATTCAACCGAGTTCGTTTGGCTAACAAAAGGGTATAATACTTACCTCGGAAACGAGAGAATACTCAACAGAAAGTATAATAATAATAAACCTAGCAAGCTAACAGCATAGCAAAGTGGCGAAGCAATCAGCTTTGTAGCGGTTTCTAACGGTTGCCGTTGAGCAATCAGTTTCAAAATAGTAGGTTCAGATGCCTGGGTGATCAGTAATCGATTGCTGAAAACAGAATTTGAATATTCGAAACCGTTCTCGAGATAATCGTGGGACAGACGGACAGACGGACAGACGGATAGACGGACAGAAGGACAAACGGACAGACGGACAGACGGACAGACATCGTGAAATCAATAAGTGACTTCGCAAGCTTCGCCACTTAATAATAATGTCCTCCAGACCGAATTTCGGTCACGGCGGCCAGCCTCTAGTCTCCGCTGAGACTAACTATCGGCGTAGGACAGGATTATAGTGTCCGAGTGTATGCGCACAGGTGCACTCAGTGGCGTAGCTAGGCGTGGGCGAAGTAGGCCCTCACACTTAAAGGGGCCTCGCAAGGCCCCTTAAAATGCAATGCCCCCAGACTTTGCCAACGATGACTATTCACTAATTTGATCACTTTTACGCTTGAAAAAGAACGTCACATATTTAAAAGCGTGTTTGTTTGGAGCCTCTCAGGAAGCCCCTCTTAAATGCGACCGTGAGGCCGTTGTAACTACCTTCAAAGACCTCGACCGTTAGTTTAACGGAATACGAGACTTGTCAGGAATTAATAGCTATGAGCCTATGAGTAGTTATGTCGTGTCAAAGCATGTTTGCTAGGATAGATATATTGGGTAGATCTTGGGAACAGGGAAAGAAAAGGGCATATTGCACTCTCCATTGCTTGACTCTCATAATCCAATAGGACGGTAACCCGACACGACCAGAGAGAGATCAGGCGCAGGACCAACGGGTTTACGTGCTTTCCGAGGCACGGGGTTGAGACACCGCCAACTTCCGGGCAGCTACTGAGAATTTCTAGAAGGAAAAACTAATTTTTTTGGCCCGACCCGGGATTCGAACCCAGCACCTCATGATCAGCAGTCGCACTACTACAACCACTAGACCATTAAGGCAGTCAAATGAGATGTAAATGTATATGGGCCACAGCAACCACTTACCATCAGGTGGACTGTGCGCTCGCTTTTCTATAAAATAATATAAATTAAAAATTTTGTACAGCTGACTTCAATATAAGTTATTAAGAATAACTATTGGCCTGACCTTGATCAAATTCATATGGGACCACACGAGAAGTATCAGCTTTCAAATAAAAAAAGAATCAACGAAATCGGTTCACCCAGTAAAGTTATGAGGTAACACACCGTCTTCAAAGACCTAAAAATAATAAAATAATTTCACTTTCTGAAGTCTGTGCTAAGATATAGAGTTTAAAAGATTTAAATCCCAGACTTCATAATTTTATACATATTTTATAATTTTTAAATGTTTAAAGTTGGCTTTTACCTTTTCTACCGACTTCAAAAAGAAGGAGCTAATAACGACTGTATGTTTTTTTATGTGTGTTACCTCATAACTTTTTTTCGGGTGAACCGATTTCGATGATTCTTTTTTTTATTTGAAAGCTGGTGCTTCTCGTGTGGTCCTTTATAAATTTGATCAAGCTCTTACCAAATAGTTTGTGACTTATTCTTAATAATTTATATTGGAGTCGGTTGTACAAAGTAGTCCCTCCCATATTAATTTGATCAAGGTCAGACCAATAGTTTTTGAGTTATTCTTAATTCTATACTTCTATATTGAAGTCGGCTGTACAAAGTTTTTAATTTTAAATTATTTACGTTATAACATGCTAATAATTATTTTAATAGATAAGGGCTTTTTTTTATAGAAAAGGGGGCAAACGAGCATGCGCCTAACCTGATGGTAAGTGACTACCGCCGCCCATGAACAACCGCAACACCAGGGGAATTGCAGATGTGTTGCCGGCCTTTTAGTAACGTGTAAGCTCTTTTCTTGAAGGTCCCTAAGTCGTATCGGTCCGGAAAATTCGCTGGTGGTAAACAATTCCAGCTACAGCATCCACTTACCATCAGGAACAAGCACATAGTACAATTATTAACTACTATAATATAACCAAGACACAAGACAATAGGACAAATATAGCATATAGCGGCTGTTTGATGGGAAAAGAGCCTTATTACAGTATATGTGTCATTCCATCTTATTCCTCAGAGATGACAATGCATTTGTACCCTTATTTGTATGAAAGTTGACTGCAGGTGTCCATGGGCTCCCCCCCGAACGGGTTCCCGCCTTGACGTGGCGGGTAGCTTAGTAGCCGCGGCTTAGTGAACCAAGAGGAATCCACATGGCTGGCCGAGGTAAAGGACCGGTCCGAGGTGGCCACTCTGAGTAGGCTTAGCTTAGTATGGGTGTCCTCTCCCACTACCGCTGCAGCCGAGGTGGAGTCGCGGAGGAAGAGGAGTGTTGGTATGCAGTCGCTCTATCCTCCGCGACTCTGGCGGGGTAGCACCGTTGATGCGGTGGTGGTGGGGCTGCGAGTTGCCGCTGGCCATACCCTCCGCAGTCGAATCTTGATTGGCGGCGTAGCCATAGGCCAGATCCGCCGTTGGGGACAGGAAGGCTAATGCTTCTGAGTTGTAGTGTTTTGCTACTTACATATCATTTTACATTATTTTAAATTCATTTTTCCATTCTGTTCCGATTTTCTGCATTCACCTCCTTTCCTTTTTTTTTGTTTTTAATTGTCGCTTCACGACAGAGTACTGAGTGGGCGGCCGGCGCTGGTGGGGCCGCGGATGTGTGCGAAAGCGTTCCTGTGGCCCTGCTAGTATGCGATAAAGGTGGAACACTATGGGATTTTAGCCGGTTCGAGTCCGACATAACCCGTCCTTGTCCCCGCGAAGCATGTCCATGGGCTACAGTAGCCACTTACCATCAGGACATCGTTTGCCACGTTAGTTTCATAAAAAAATGTAGACAGACTATTCTATTATTTTAAACAGATTTTGAGAAATGTTATAAAAAATCTTTTGTCACCTCACCATACACCATGTGCCGCAATTCTTGTATCGCGTGGTCTCTTGTTTGTGGGTCCTCGTTGCAGTTCCGACGCGCGTACTCTTCGAAATCCGGGTCTTCGTATCTGCTTACTTCAGCTTGAAAAGCTATATCGAGGAACGGCATGGCGACTGAAAAGTACCATATACACAATATATTATATTAAGTGACGACTTGGTAAGACATGCAGGAAGTCAAAAGATGCAGGTGGCTCGGGACCGTGTTTGTGTGGCGTTCTTTGTGAGGGGCTTATGTTCAGCAGTGGACTTGTGACGGGCTGCAATGATGAGGATGATGGAGTAGATATGTGTCAATAGCCTAACGGTTAAGGGTATGGACAGCGAACTTGAAAGTCGTTAGTTCGAATCCCATTCGAAGCCATTCGACTACTGCCGTCTAAGAAGACTACTCAAGCGTTTTTACTACTTTATTTTATTTATTCATTCATCACAGTCCTTCCCAAGTACACTGCTGTATATAGGCCTTCTCCAAGTAATGCTACAAAGCACACTCCTGAGTCACCTTTATTGTATTGCCAGTAGTAATATACACAATGCTGCGTGTTCTATTATATATCGTACTTGGTGAAGTAGTGAGATAAAATATAAAAAATAATGGTGTACGTGTGCACGAGTCTAACCCGCTCGGGCGCAACTCACTTATTCCCCCCGTTGCTACAGTACCCAACTACATTATAACCATTAACATAATTGACCAAAGAGCATGTGAAAGATCGTGCCAAATGGAAATCCGTAGTTTCTTTTTATATAAGAGGGGGCAAACAAGCATACGGCTGACCTGATTGTAAGTGACTACCGCCGCCCTTGAATAGTTGCAACACCAGGGGAATTGCAGTTTTTGATATATCGATATAACATCGATCATCGATGCCACTGTGCGATGCATTAGATCGAAAAAAAAATATCGATAGTTTTCTTCAACGTCCATCGCCATAAGCGTGGCATCCTCAGGCTGATCGCTAAGCACTATCTTAGCGATGTGTGTTCTTGTCTTATTAATCTTTAACATCTTCAAAAGAAGATGAGGTTAGTTTAAACGGGGTTTTTCGTTCGATCACCGACACCCTTTGTTCACAAGAATACATCCCTCCACCTCAAGTGTTTTTTTATAGAATGAGGGTGATAAACGAACACACAGTCCACCTGATGGTAAGTGGATACTGTGGCCCATAGACATCTAAATGTATCCTCAATTAAGCAAAATACAAATTAGTAGTCACCCCTGAGGACTTAATTGTAATGCCTCATTTCCAGTTAAAAGGGTCTCTGGATTTCTACACTAACCATACGAAACACAACAGCCTTAAGCTGCTATTTTACGCTGGTGTTCTGAGAGAGCGTGGTCCTTCTATGGTCGAGCCAAGCCATTCGTGCTACAAATAAATAGCTGAAGCGTGGCTCTACTACGTATAAATTATAAGGATAGATTGTATGAATGAACATTCAGTTCGCTGTTCCCTCAAGAGAAAGTAACACGCAATGAGCATTTAGAAACAAACAGTTGTTACTAGAGGCCGTAATCAACGGACTTAACTCGTTAAATGCAATGCGTAATGGCGGCTCTAGAGAAAGTTCCTTAGGAATGTGTAATGTTGGAAATAACAATTAGGGACGTGTTGTTCATTCTAAGACTTTAATAAGACTATTTCCAAGGATAAGGGTGACAAACGAGCACACAGTCCACCTGATGGTAAGTGGATGCTGTGACCCATAGACATCTACATCTATCCTCAACTACGAATCAAAATGCAGATGCGTTTTCACCGCTGAGGACTAAGATGGAATGCCTCGTATCCAGTTAAAAGGGTCTCCGGTTCTCTACACTCACCATACGCAACACAGCAGCATTAAGCTGCTATTTTACGCTGGTACTCTGTGAGAGCGTGGTCCTTCCCCGGTCGAGTCGACTCATTTGTGCTACAATCATAACCTAACAGCGTGAATCTACCACGTACAAAATTACAAAACTACTGTTGTTTTACATCACAAACGCGATGACGAGCATGCAATGTGATGGGGCATTGGGTGCATGAGAAACATGCGATTATAATATATATACCGTTGACTACAGGGGAGCTAAATTCAGGTGTACGCGCAAACATATGCATTATTTTATACGTGGTAGAGCCACGACGTAGCTATATTGTGGTTGTAGCTAGAATGAGTCGGCTCGATCGAGGAAAGATCACGCTGTCACAGAATACCAGCTTGAAATAACAGGTTAATATTGACAATATCACCTTAGAATAGTAGCTTATTGCTGTTGTATTTTTAATAGTGACTGTAGAGAATCGGAGACCCTTTCTACTGGTAGCATTTTCTGCCGACTTCCAAAAAGGAGACGGTACTCAATTCGACTGTATGTTTTTTATGTGTGTTACCTCATAACTTTTATTTGGGTGAACCGATTTCGATGATTCTTTTTTTTTTATTTGAAAGCTGGTACTTCTCCTGTGGCCCCATATGAATTTGATCAAGGTCAGACCGATAGTTTTTGAGTTATTCTTAATAACTTATATTGAAGTCGGCTGCACAAAATTTTCAATTTTAAATTATATGTTAGTCTGTAGGTGCACGCATCTGCGTTTTGATTTCTAATCGTGGGTAGCGTAGATGTTTGTGATCCTTATTATATAAAAATAAACTAAACGTCAGAGTGCTTGACTAATATCCCACTTGGTGGTAGGTGACGTGTAGATGACGTGGGCGAAGATGGTAAAACTCACTGATTTAGCTCACATTGTAATCGGATGCAAATTATTCTATTCCTATACTGTACGCATTACGAAGGCATATAAATGCGTCTGATTATTCGATGGTAGAAGGGAGAGGGAGGAATTAAGTTATGCAACTTCTTCACACATTCTTCGACATTTATGCTATCCTGGTCTTACCGCGTGAATTAAAACATTATTAATCAATGATCACTAGGAGAGACAGGTTACGAAAATGGCACAGCGAATGTCACTAAAATAATAATAATTAGTGTACACAATTGGTTTCTTTCATAATCGATTTTTATTAATCACTAGCGATCCGCCCCGTCTTCGCACGGGTGATTTCTGGATCTCGACAACAGCCACACCTACCGGGTACAATTTTAAATCTAAACCATCCAGGGACTCATTCAAAAGCACACAAAAAAAAATCCGCAAGCAATTGTTTTTTTTTTGTTGACATTACTCTTAGGCATCGACTCGTGTTACTGGGTCACGCGGTCGGTGTATCCTACCAACCACCAAATATAGGACCCAGAGGATCACTCCTTAATAATAACATATTGTTAATTTGAATTTTTGTGTTCATTGAAGATGATCATCTCACATAAATAATGCACAAGGGTTAATATTATAAGTTGTAATTTATACCCTAATGGCGTGCGTTATATTCAAGAGTGCCAACCTCTCCAGCATTTCCTAACTGGAATCTCTGGCGACAATTTATGATTTAAAACCTAAAGAGTCGCTCCGACAAATATTTAAGAAAATTAATATAAAACTTTGGCCTCTCAATACATTTATGAAAATGTAATAATAACGTACACAAAAGTACAAAAACAAAAATAGTTCATTCATTCTGTAAATACTAGGAATTCATTCTTGGGCGATGTATATGCTTTTAACAAAATCCCAGAAATTACACAAAATTTGACCTGCTCAAAATTCAAAAATTTTATTAAACAAATTTTGTCTAAAAAGGATTATTATAATTTTTAGGAATTTATGGATAATAACCCCGGGAATGAGGTGATCGCTACTAAGCTATTTCTAATTTGTTTTGTGTGGTTAATTGTGTAACCATGAAGCAAATGTGTAACATACATGATTGTAAGCTGTTATTTAAAAAAAAGTCCCGCTGGGCTTCTTGCTGGCTCTTCCCAGGACAGAAGTTTTTTTCGAACTAGTGATAATTAAACAAAAGAGTGACTTTCATTAAGTACCTAAGTATAATTTATAATCTTTATTGAACAAAAAAGTTTCTGTTTCTGTTACCGTGCGAGTTTCCATTTCTTTTTCTTTTAATACCATCTTCTTTGACACTTACTTACCATAAAATGTGATTGATGTTAAGCTATGAAGTTGAAAGAAATTATCGACTTTGCGCACACAAACCACTCGCCCGTGCATAACGAATATGTTGAGTAGATTACTCTTTCAAGGTAATGCATTCTTGAAAAAATCTACAGCATTGATGGAGAAAAGTATACGTCCAAATAATTTTAGTCAGTGTATGAAAGTTGCTTATTATAATTCCGTTTCTATAGCAGCGCTTACGCCATGCTGTCGTAAGCGGTTGGTAATATTCCCATAACAGTGCATTCACCTTGAGTCTAACGTAGAAATGAGTGCAGTTCAATACGCACTTGTTATTACTAATGTGGCTTTTGTAATAAAATAAGTGTGATCACCGCGTAGTCAGGGAACTTAAGAACAAAATGCGATTTGACCTGGCAACGCAGGCCGCGTCCCTAAGTCGTATGAAACTGTAATGGCTAAAAACAGCGCTAACATCAAAAGTAAAGTAAAGTAATAAAGTTATATAGATTCGAATCCGAATCGGAGTTCACATTTATTGAAAAACAAATAGTTGGCTCACGGATCTGACTATGTTATCCTAGTAATAAATATTACATTTATGCTCAGTTCCCGATTCATAAAGACGTGTGTTTTAAAATCACATCTTTTTTAACGTGGTAGCCATGCTCTAGTTTTATAGTTATAGCACAAATGAGTCGGCTCGACCTGGTTAGGACCACGTTCTTACAGAATACCAGCGTAAAACAGCAGCATAAAGCTGCTGTGTCTCATTTGGTAAGTGTGGAGAACCGGAGATCTCTTTATGCTGGAGGCGAGGCATTCCATGTTGGTCTTGGTCCTCATGGGTGACAGCACAACTGCGTTTTGATTCTTAATCGAGGATAAATGTAGATTATGGGCCACAGCATCCACTCACCATCAGGTGGACTGTGTGCACGCTTGTCACCCTTATGCTATAAAAAAAAACATCGCGCAGGGGTAGGTTAAGTGTAAAAATATACCCCGTTATCAGCGAGGAGAAAATTCTTTTCCTTTTTCATCCACTACTGGACATGGATCTTTCCCTTTG